ACACACACACACACACACACACACACATACACACACACACATCCACACACACGTATACACAGATAAACACACTCACACAAACACGCGCGTACACACACCGAAAGACGTGCACTCTCAAATTTGCAAACGTGCGCAAAACACGCCCCGGCAGCTAGATCTATAATTGAAAACGAAGTGTTTTGCCCATTTTCGAACGTTAAGCCCCTTCGTATGTTAAGCTTTCGGGTCTTCTACTTCTCCTTTGATCGCGATCTTTAAGTGGATTTAGAAACTAACACCCAGCGCTGTTCAATACTCAGTAATAACTTTGTCGTGTCACCTCGCAATATCGGTTTTGTTTGGTTGTCACGCAGAAACAAGGACATCGATTTTCCGATGGGCAAATAGTTGTAAGTGTATGTGATTTGCTGGTGTCGCTGTTCCCCGTTTGACCGCCGCCGGGAGCAAACCGGGTAGAGGGGGTGAACCATCAGTGAGATGACCATTTATCAAATGGACGTATGTACGTGAGCGTGAATAGAAAATGACGGGAGGCTGGCGGGTGTCCTAGCGTGGTCAGCCTCTTTTATTTCTTTTTCAGAGTCATTTATCTTACTTTGTTCCTTATGAAATGTTGCCATCCTAAAGGGTTGCTGACTCGCCGGATGGTATGGATCACACAGGCGTGTAGGAAAATAAATGCAAACTTGGCAAGCCTTAATAAATGCACAGAAGTAATTTACTTTTTGCAAAACACTTTTTTGAACCGCTTACGTGGTAAACATAATAATTATATGGTATTCCCCTTGCGCTTGCACGGGATTAAAAAAATGAATCTTTTAGAGTTTTCATTAGATTCCGTTTTTATTTCGAGTAGAAATGTTTATTGCTGTTGTACGTTCTGGAAAAATAATCAGAGTGAGCTTAGAGTGTTGATAGTGGCCGGAACTGACCAGAAGCACCAGTTCAACCTTTGGAACATCAAATCTGAACTTAACCGGAGCAGCACCCCTCCCCACCCCACCCCTCTCTCTCTCCC